TAAGTTATATCAAAAAGAGATCGTTTTGTGTATCATTTTAAGAAATGATACACGAAATGGTCTGATTTTTTGATGCAAAAAATTTAATCAATTTATATCAATCATGGCCGAATTGAATCGACTCAAAATTAAACTAATTTTTTTCAGATATTTTGGTAATAGTACAATTGCGGAGACCATTTCACTATTTAATTTGAAAATGAAAATAACAGAAAATCAAACACAATGTGCAATTCGATAATTAAAAAGTGACAGCTTATAAACATAACCTAAAATGCATGAGAAAACATTTGTCGATAAAATCAATATAGCCGAGCTTTTTAGAAGGTAGATGGCAGCACTTATCTATTTTCTTTTTTTAAATTTTTTCTGAATCGTTTTTATAAAAAGCAAAACTGCCATCTACCTTCTAAAAAGCTCGGCTATATTGATTTTATCGACAAATGTTTTCTCATGCATTTTAGGTTATGTTTATAAGCTGTCACTTTTTAATTATCGAATTGCACATTGTGTTTGATTTTCTGTTATTTTCATTTTCAAATTAAATAGTGAAATGGTCTCCGCAATTGTACTATTACCAAAATATCTGAAAAAAATTCGTTTAATTTTGAGTCGATTCAATTCGGCCATGATTGATATAAATTGATTAAATTTTTTGCATCAAAAAATGAGACTGTTTCGTGTATCATTTCTAAAAATGATACACAAAACGATCTCTTTTTAATATAACTTATGTGCATCAAAACGTTGCAATAGAAGAAGATACAACCAAGTTTACTGTGATATCGCTATATCGTCGTAAAGTACAGGGTTCAAGCTTTAATTTGACTCCTATGACAAATCTCTAGAACGTCGGATTTACCGGGTAGAAATTTTCAAAAACTGCCAAATACGTGATTTTTTGGACTTTTACCACAACTTTTCTCAAAATCCTGACGTGATGGGAGGTTTTCGATGTAAGATTTGGATTCAGCGCACCAAAAACTACGGGAAATGACTTCTCGATCTCTGACAATGAAAATTTTTTTTTTTTTTTTGCAGGCTTGTGTTATGAATCCCGTGACAGTTTCTCAAAATTCAAAATGGTAGATACAATATGGCAGAAAATTTTATAAAACTTGTTACAATTCAATTGAAATTTGTTACTATGGCGTTTTTAAGATAACTCTAAATTCATAATTACTAACAAAAATGAATTCAAGTTTTTTCTGTAAAATTTTCGATTTTAAATTTATCTTAAATTACCGAAAATTAAATTAGCAACTGGTTATTTGCTCTCTAAATTTGAATCAGTGGAAAATCGCTGATTGAGTAGCAATAAGTATGCAGCTAATTCAAGCAGTGTATATATATATATATTGATAATTAGCGCATATAAACTATGTCATCAGTGTATATACGCTGTTTGAATCAGCTGCATACTTATAGCTGCAAATTAGCGACGTTTCGCTGATTCAAATTTAGAGAGTGTATTTTGCTTCACAAATTATTGTTATCTTCAAAGGTCGATAATTTTTTTTTTTTCAAAGTTTTAATTTCATAAAACTAATTATTAACTTTAACGTGAAAGTTTGCTAAGAATTTCGTAATAATTATAATGGAACAAATAAAAATTTATAAAAATATTTTGAAAAAAAAATTCAAAATTTTTTAATAAAACGATTAAAACAAGTCAAAAATTGACGAAATATCACGATTTCAAATATATTAAAAATTCGTTTTAAATTAATCGAAACAGTCTGAAATTAGTCGAAGACTTTTAAAACTTCTCGAAGCTGTCCAAACATATCCAAAATAGTTTTGAACTATAAATTAAACCATCTAAAAGAGATTGAAACATATTGGAAATAATTTTATTATAATCAAAACTGTCCAAAACTAGTCTTAAATGTTTGAAACTAATTGGAACTATATAAGCGAATTTGAAACAGTGCAAAACTAGTTTCAAGTGCTTATTAAAGGAGATTAAATTTATAGTAATAAATAAATAAATAATAATAATAATAATAATAATAATAATAATAATCATACTAATAAGTCACGATATATGTATTAAAGTAAAGTAAGTCGCTACAAATAAAAAATAGTCCATTTATTTTTTGGATTTCTTCTCTTTGTAGGATACAAACTATTTTTCGCTAAAATTTAATATATAACTAAAGTAAATATTTTATAGTGCTAAACGCTAAACTATTTTATAACTATATAAAATTGTTAAATTTTGTATAGATGTATATTAAAATTAATCTACTTTTTATTAAAACGTACTTAGTTAAAATTACACAATTTTTCTATTTTTTTATTTAAAATTATTATATTTTTTCTCATCTTTTAATTAATTAATTATTATTATTATTAAAAAATCTTTTGTTTCATTTATTTTAGAAATTTTGTAATTCACGAAATTATGTGTAGTCTAAAAGAAATTATATATTTTTAATTTCAAATAAAAATGAAAATAAAAAAACTTTCACAATGATAAACAAATGTAAATTGAACTAAGTACATTTTTATTAAACCTTAAATTAATGTAAAATTAGTAAACATTTATATTTCTGTTTCTTGAAAATTTAAATTAGAAAATAGTGAGCAAATAATTAAAAATTTTAAAAACAATATTAATTATAGATTAAATTTAATTTTTTTATTTTATTTATTAAATTATAATTTAAAGATTAGCATTAATTTTGAAAAGTTTATTATGAATAAAATTTTATCATAAATAGTTCAATGTTAAGTTACATAAATTTGAAGGCAAACGGAAAAGTAAAATTAGCTGTGACAATTAAATAAATTGATATTATTTTGTTGATGGTAATTATTTTTATCTGACACTGATATAATAGATGTTTCACTAATTATAAATTATATTATATATTATTTATTCAAATATTAAATATACATAAATTGCGTCGCAGCTAATTTTTCTTCTCTAATTTAAATTTTCAATTTTCTGAAAACTTACGAATATTGTATTACAGAATTGAATATCACATATTTTTTTTTCAATTATATCAAGTATCAGAAGATAACAAGAAAGTTTGGATCGTATTGTAATTCTATGTGGATTTATAAAAGTGACAAATATTATTTTTTCTATAATATTCTATTATAAATTATTAATTATTATAGTAAATATTATTTTTTTAACCCTCGGAGCACACACCTCTTTTTTCGAACAAGTAGCACAGTCTGGGTCGCTGTGACCCTGTTTACTTTACAAAACTCCCCCATTTTTGAACTATTGGACTGATCAACACAAAAAAAATATTTTTTTATTCATTGAACCTTGTAAAATAAGAATATGCAGTTTAGAAATATTATTAAATTATTTGCATATTGAAAAAAAATTCGTGAAGTTAACTAATTAAAAAGAAAAAATTGAATTTAAAAAAAATGTAACTTTTGTAATTTTTAATATTTTAAGCTAAAAATTGGGATTTATATTCTCGAAGTGTGTTAGAATAAGGGAAAAAATACAACCTTATTTTATTTTTTAGAAAAGGTATTTATTTTGTAGTTTAACGAAGGTAACTTTTAAGACGATAAAAATGTGATTTTCACAACGTTTTAAAACTATACTTTTTTAATAACATATTTACTAGTATTTTATTATTTTCTTTGGATTATCATGTTACTTATTATTCCTTATTAGTTAGTTACCACTATATGGCCTTAGGTTCGTGTTGTATTGCCGACTTTTCAAATTACACTTCATTGAAATTAATGACAGGGTCTGTGTGACCCAGTATGTGCTCCGAGGGTTAAACAAAATTGGTATAATAATAAAACAAAATTAAATGTTGAAATATTAAAGACATATAGTTTTACGTTTTTTTACCTTTCCCATTAGAGAGGCAAAAAATTTTAGGTTATGTTTCTGATTTTACTATTGAAAATACCTCTTTATTAGATTCAAAATATTCAATAAAAACTTATTTTTATTTTGCTTAATTAAAAATTAACTTTTAATGAAGCTATACCTATCACTAAACATAACCTAAAAATTTTTTAGGTACCTTTTCTCGTGTCGTGTATGTTAAATTAATTGAAGAATATAGAAAATTATTTATTTTTCGGATAAAATATTTAAAAAATTTATATAAAACCCTTTACAACACCTAAAATTACAGCAGGATTACCTCAATATTGCCATTATTTTTGCAATGTTGTTGCAATTTTAGTATAATTGAGTCAATGTTGACAATATTCGTTTTTAATATTTACCAAAAACAATTTAAAACGTATATGATACTCCACAAAAGAAAGGAGATTATGTCAAAAAAAATTGTAGGTTATGTTTGTGATTTTTGAAGTGAAAATCCTTACAACACAGAAAAAAGTTGGACTCATATTTGTTGTATCTCAAAATGAATTCATGTTAAATGACATAGAACGTGGCGCCATCTGTCTGTCTCATTTTTTATGCATATCAAATTGATTATAAATTTCGTATTCAATTTAAGATGAGGTTTTTTCTGTGAGAGAATCAAAATACAAAATATTTACATTCAAGTTTCCATTAATATTCAAAAAATTCAATAACTAGTTTTTTTTTTTTGACTAAACATAACCTAAAATTTTTGCACTTCTTTCGTGAATCGTCACATATTTCTAAATACATGAAAACTAAATATTTTTTTTAATAGGAAATAAAAATTTCCATTGAAAAATATAATCTATTTATAAATCCACAGAAAATTGTAAAGTAATTTTAGGAGCAAAATTTTTATTATTAGTATATTATAAAATTTATACGCCATTACTTGGAATCATATAATACCCTCCTCTCTCTCTCTATCTCTCTCTTTCACTGTGCCTCTCTTTCCCTTCAGAATGGAAACTCAATTACTATCGATGTTGCGCGCGAACGATTGATAATTTATGTAGTATAATATGGGATGAAACGGTATGTGTATACCCAAGAGATCCAAACGTCCTTGCCCTGACAGAATGAAACATTTATGATATTAGACTGTATGTACGAGACGTTCACGTACCTTGGCGTGAACATGCAGCCAGCACTGTCCACCACATACGAGGCGGGCTCACCGCTGCTGAAATTAACACACAGAGGCTATGTTCACTTTCACACTATATCGGCACTGACTGCGCCACCCCCTGCACCACCTCAGTGTCACTATCTGTATGCTCTAGTTGCCTACCATAAATGCCATGTCTGTATTCACTATGCAGCTCTATCACACACATTTACTATATATATACATATACAACAACTACATATGCACTACCAGAATAATAACTACGTGTGGTAACAGGGTAAGGGCAATTTTGGACAACGGCCGAACCCATCACGCGTTCTCTTTTCTCTTTACAATCAAAATTATTGTTACTATATTCGTTTAAACAAAAATCGTTTCTTTTTTTTTGTGTCGACTTTTCTTTTTAATGCCAATTTTCTTTTTTTCATTTTATTTTATTCGTTTATGCGTTATTGTTATAAACAGAATTTATTACTATTAGTGGATTCTTTTTATTTTTATTGTCAATTCTAATTTTTCTTTTATTATTGATAATATAAAATACAAATATCGTGTTCTTTTTTCGATTAGTATGAACTTCGTTAAGGCCAGGTCCAAGTGAGGCAGCGCCATCTACATTGAAACTAAAATTTTGGAAAATTTTCAACAGCCTTTTCTTGTAAACAAGCAGGTAAAATGCTTTTTCCTTTATGGATAATAATTGATTATTGGCAAGATATACACCAGCTAAAACTTTTTTTGAGTTAAAATAATAAAAAAAATTTCATGTCAATAAATTAAATATGAGCACTTTTTTCACAAAAACTGTAACAGTACTTTCTCAGAAATTACAATCAAAAATGCAATTTCCATTTGGAAAATTAATAAACGCTAAAAAATACACGACCTGAGATTTACCAATCACGAAAATAACAAAAAAAAAAGTATTTTAACATAACATATTTTACTCATTATGACAGCCGTTTGGCAGGTTATATATTTCACCAGACTCACTTGGACCTGGCCTTAACACTGCGTTTCAGAGTCGCCACTGACGATATCTAAACTCAACTGCGCTTGCGCCATGATAGCTCTCTCTCATTGGCAAGAAAAAGCGCGCTTATATGAAATGCTTAATACTAAAAAATATTAAAACAGCAATGTAAAAACATTTTTACTATTGAAATTATTTTTTTTTTTTTTTGGTTAATTATAACGCTGTATAATCAATATTAATTTTATTAACGTACTTAAATATAATAATGATATTACTAATTTTACTAATAGCGAAAACAAATTTTTCTCTTTATAGAAACATATGTTATATGAGATCCTGATGGACGAAATGAACGAAAGAATTTTTAAAAATACCCAAAAAAAATTTTATTGTCTTTTTTCCAAAATTTTTTTTTAATCGAAAAAATTTTTAAATAGCAAAATTTAAGGTTATATATAATAAAATCGTATTCCTTACGTCAAGACAAATCTATTGGTATATAAATAATGTATACATAAGATTTAAATTTAAAGAATTAATGAAAGTTAAAAAATCAAAAATTCACATTTTAGATGAAAAATTTTTTATTCTCAAATGTTTATATTATTTATGTATGTTTATTTCAATGTTAATGCTTTCTCCACGAGGAAGCAAATTTTTTTTGCTGATCGTTAAGAGGAAGCAAAATGTTCAAATGTAATGAACATCTGAATTTACAACTTGTTTTTTATTATTATTGTATTTTCATTATTATATTAATAAAAACAGTTAGTTATTAGTAGTAAAAAATAAATAAATAATAAAAAAAAATATAATACATATTCATTTGACGAGAATGTAATAATGTTATAAAAATGATAAAATTAGTAATATTATTATTATTATTATATATTTAAGTATGTTAAAAAATTAATATTGATTAGAAAGCATTATAATTAACCAAAAAAAAAAAGTCAATTCAATAGTAAAAATTTAAAAAATTTTAATCAAAATGTTTTTATATTGCGTTTAGATACGGTCATTGGCAACTCTGTGTTCGGCTGTATGTAAAGAGAGGGGATAGTTTAACGATTGGTTTTAGCGAGTTATCCCCACTCTCCAAATGCAGAGCACGTAGTTTACTCAAATGCCTCCAGTCCATTTCTTCTCTTTTTTTTATTATTATACATATACGTTCATTATAATAATTTTTTTCTCAAGTTAAAAAATGAAATGAATTTATGAAATGAATATTTGTTTTCACAAGAAAACTATATAAAGGTATTAAAAAGCATTGCAAATTAAAAAGATTAATGACTGTAACATAACCTCAAATTAGAAAAATTGAGTTTTAACTATGTTTTTAACGCAAACTAAAATACAGTACAAATTAATTTCTATCAATTATGAAAAATATACCTAATAAAACGTTTTTTTTTTTTTTTAGATAAAATGATGTTGAGGCAAAATCTTCCGTCAAATAAAATTTTGACTCTGTATCATTTTTTTGAAATGTGAATAACTGAATTTTCCAAAATTTATTAAAATTAACTTTCCGAATATTTTTGTTTACGTTGAAAACCATTTTTTTTGTTTGAGGTTATGTTACGGCAACCGTATCCTTTTTAAGGCAGATGTCCATTTGAGAACGCAAAAATTAGTCTCTTATTTAATATTTTTTTTCTCTCATTTTTATTCTAAATTAAAAAAACTTTTTTTACATTTTTAAAACTATATATTTTAACTAAAATGAACAATTTTTGTTTTATTTTTAAATTATTATTAATTATTTCCAGAGAGAGAGAGAGAGAGAGAGAGAGAGAGAGTCAAACGGACGTCTGTGTTAAATTAATACTATAAAAAATTCAAATAATCCATTTTTTAGATTAAATTTTATTTTCACTTTGGTATAAAAAAAGTTTATAAATTCATTTTTTAAAAGTTTACAATTTTAATCTTTGTATACGAATGATTTTAATCACTGATGGATTTAAAAGCGTTGCATCTTATTTTAATCAATTTCGGTTATAAAATAAAATAAACAAAAAAACATTGATAAAAAGCAAAAAAAAAAAAAAAGATAAATTTAAACAAAATTTTAAAAAGAATATTATAAATTCTTGATTTATTTTAATCTTGTCATATATTGTGTTTTATATATGTATATATATTTGAAAATAAGGTCACAGCCATTCATAAGCAATGAAATATACATTGATTTTACTTCATTCATGAATTAATTCGTGACAACTTTATATGTTAATCTAATTTATATTTTTATAGAAAAAAATTAATAGAGCTAAAAACTATTTTTAATTTATGTCATAAATAATTTTTTTTTTTTATATTCTATTAACGAAAAATTTAATTAAAATTTAAATAACTGGAAATAATCTATATTGAACGTTTACAATTTAATATTAATTATTTATTAAAATGAGATGACACAATATAATTGAATAAAATATTGTGAATTTTTTTTTAATAGTGAAACAATAAATTTTCAAAGAGTGCAAAAAAAGTAAAATAGAGAGAGAAAAAGAGACAGAATGGATTTTAGTAATTAGGCAACAATTTGAAATTTAAATGAATGCATAACGATATCTCGAATAGCAAAAAGGTATATATATATATATATATATAGTTGAAAGCATATCGAGTTTCGTGGAATGTTGGTGAAAATTTTGTAAACTCCATTGAATTGTGTTTTTATCTTGTCAAAAGCAGTATCAGTACTTATTCGCGGGAAAAGAGAGTAAAGAGGATGGAGAAAAAAGAATGTTGGAAGGGAAAAAAAAGAGGAGGGGAGGAGGACATTTGAAATTGGCAAAAACGCTAGTCGACACTGGGTATTATTAACTGCGTTCTCCCCCCTCCTCCTCTCTCTCTCTCTCTTTCTCTCAACTTTACCCCAATATCGGGTGGCCTGGCGACATTTTCAAATTCTCATAGTGCCAGTATCTCGCACAATCGTGGCAAACGAACGCCTGCTGAATCGGCAGTCGTCCAATCAACATTAAAACACCAAACAGCACGACACCAAACACCAGCAAAACACCGACTACGAGAACACATTTAGATATAGTTTATATATATATATATATACAGACAGGATACTGATGGAAATTTTGTTCCGCTCGCATTTAACGTATTCCAACTCGTTCTATATCAGATAGACAAAATACTCAATATCCCGTTTTTTAATCCGTCATCAACAATCAACGAAAGAAAACAAAAAAAAAATTCACCGACGAATTTATTACTCCGTTTTTTGCATCTAATGAATGATTACTCTATTTTTTTATACGAAAATTCTTTTCGCAATCTATACACGCACTGAGAATGATTTAAATATATATAAATTGAAAAATAATGCGCTGGAAAAATTACAATAAGTTAATTAATTAAAGAAGAATTTAAAAAAATTGATGAATACACAGAAATAAAAATTTATTTAATTCAAAAATAATCGTTGACTATTAACAAATAAATATTTACTTAAACCATATGATTTTTATTTAAACCAATAATTTTTCTATTTAAAACAAATATCAGTTAATTTACTCAAAAATTATTTGCTTCAAGGAAATGTAACCAATTATTTGAATTAAATAAATTTTTTTTTCCAGTGCACTAAAATGAAACAAGAAAAAAAAGTTTATCACTTCCTCCCCCCTCCCTTATATCATTTCGTGTTAAAACCTATGCGCGCGCAATATATTACCCTCCCCCACTACTTTAGATATTATAACTAACGCGTGCGGTGATTGGTCCGCGCGTTATTAATCCTATTTCTCACTTATATAACGTGCGCAATTTTTTTAAGGTTATGTGATTTTCTATTTCACATATAAATACTCTCCGATAGATTTTCTTGCAAAATAATTTGACAAATTGAAGTATTTTCTGGAGATTTCTAAAATATATTATAAAGAAACGCTGTTATGTGCCAAAGTATTTATATTTTGTCAAAAAAAATTTATTTTTAAAAAATAGTATAATTGAGAAAAATTCAAAATGACGGGAAAGATATTAAAAAATATTCATTTTTTTTTTTTTTTTTTTGACAAAATATTAATATTCGCACAAGACAAAAAAT